TTTCCCACGGACCCGAGAAGTACAAGTGGCCGCCATCCCTTTGCAACAAGCGGTTTCGCCGTATTGCGCTTCCACTCCTTTACCACACAGTATTTATCCCTAACATCAAAATCCTAAACCGGCTTCTACAAAATCTACTCGAGCATCCCACATATGGTGCCCTCATCAAATCCTTGGAACTCCACTGGTACTGTAATGACAAACTTCAAATGTGGTATAATCGTACCCACATTGATTGTGCACAAGACGCAAAGAAATACTCCGAGCCGATAGAATTCCCCCCGAATATCGAAGAACAGGATCCAAAGGTCAATGTGTTGCACCTTTTGCACATGCTTCGTCACCTCGAGACGCTGGAAATCAGAGCTGGACCACGCTATGATAGGGGTATCCACACCTACCTCTCCAATTTTCTGAATGGGAGAGATTTCTCAACCAGACTACGAAGTTTCACATGGTGGGACGTCGATGTCGATATACGTACCCTAATACCTGCACTTTTGATTCCATCTGTGAAGGAGGTCCATAGTAGCCAAGCATCTCGGAAGGATCACATGGACTATGTCTGGGGCCCTGACCTTCCGCAAAATCTTCAATCCGTTTCTCGGGATGGTCAGTCTAATGTTGAGAGGCTCACGTTATCCTTGGTTCAAGTCGACGGTCTTAATCTTTCCGAGCTTCTTCGCCTTCCTCGTGCCCTCAAAGTGTTGACATATCATGGTGGCATCCGCTATCAATTAGCAGACCAACCCCCTCTTCGTGTCTTTAAGCGAGCACTCAGTCACGTCGCGAGCGAACTCGAATTCCTTGATCTATTTTGGAACTCAACCCTGCCGTTCGACGACGATTCCACCCTATCATTCCAAAAATTCGTATCTCTCAAATTCCTTGTAGTCAATTGCTCCCTTATTCATGACCCTCGTTCACCTACCAACGGTTCTCTCCTTTCCGAATCATTACCTCCATCCCTTGAGGTACTATACATGTACGGGCCATACCCTAAAATCTGGCACAGAAACGACATCCTCGAATGTTGGAAGCTAGTTTTGACCGAAAAATCTACTACATATTTGCCCAATCTGTGGTTTATTGGTCATTGGAACGACTTGGATCTCTTGATACCTTTTCTCGATTTAGCAAGCAGTCAAAATGTGCAAATAGCGCTAGAATTTCAGGAACTGATTCGAGTTAAGGAGGCATTCCTTTCGAAAATAAAATAGCCAAGGGAAGCTCAATAGAAATATTAGGCGCTTCATTCTCTTCTTCATTATGTTGACTAGAAGAATCCTCCCATGCAGGTAGCCTCATGTAAAGTTCGTGATAAGGCAATGTCTATATCGGATACTAACAGATGCCGTCTTTGTGTCGAGATACCGGAAAAAGTCCGAGAATAATGAGGTCATTCAGAATAATGCGGCCCGTGGT